ACGATAGCATGTCTCTCCTTTTTGTTATCTCTTTATTAGCGCTGCAGTCGTCCAGGATAAACAGCGTCGACTTCCCTTTAAATTTGTTGCGATAAGCTTTCAGCCAATCCTGCACACATGTTCCCGGGTCGACTTTGTGCACGTCCGGGTCCGTCATCACCCAAGATCTTTCCGTGTACGTTTTGTTGATGTTCAGAGTAGGGCACATGATAACGATGTGATCGATGGTATCCCGGTAGTACCCCTCCAGCATGTTCAGCACGAAAACGGTCTTCCCACAGCCCGTCTGCCCGCACACTATAGCGCAGTGCGGATCGCGAGGTAGATCAATAAACTGCCTGCACGAATCTTCCATTGTCTATATTAAGTTGCGCGTCCATAATCACGTACAAATATAATTTTAATTTGCCTGTGGTTTGAGCCTTCTTGGTGATCTGGATGGTGATCCCCTCGCTGCCATTGTCGACGCGGCGGCCGCTGCCGTGTAGCCTGTCGTCATCCGTTGATCGCATGTCCAACCACAGCGCGTACTTGGTGGTCAGTATTCCCCGATCTGCACAGAGGATAGATCCAGGTCCTTGGCGATGTTGACTTCCGGCGATGTTGCTTTTCCAGAGATCCATGTAACAGTAAAACACGTCGCTGTCATCTATACTCAACACCTCGTTGCCGCTGATTTTGATGGTGGTTTTCTTGACGATGGCACGACCAATGTTCCATACGAGCTCGCGTTTGTCGTTGTCGGAAGTCAATGCGATGTTAAACGCCAGTCGAACCGTGCGTTCTCGAGGTCATTCTCGTCCAGGTTGGGGAATCGAACCAACAGCGTTTGGATTTCATCTATCTTGCATGGATTATTGGTAATGGTCACCGACTGACGCACGGCTTTGACGCCGAGAGGCTCTCTTTATCTTCGGAAAGGATCTAACTTTCTCCCGTATGACATTGTTATATACATGAAATATATAAGTTTAATATAATTAATATAATGGATGATATTCCGCTGGATGATTTGGGTGGTGCGCTCGATGATGGGGATTACGATGAAGACACCTCATTCATGGGCGACACTGTTAGCAACAAACTTTTAAAGCAGACCGTAGACGAAATTGCGATTGAAAGCTCATCCAGAGATCGATCTCATGAGCAAACACACGAGAAAACCGCTTGCCTTGTCTACACTAGCCAGTCGTCATTGGGGGCAACTGATCCGCGATGAATTAAACTTGCGAGATTACGGCGGTGCACGACCCAAACAACTTCCACCCAAAGTAGTTCGTGATCTGCAAAACGTCAGGGAGCTCAGCAATGCTGGAGACGCAAAAGAAACGTTGGACAGCATCGAAAAACCGTTAGGCACGTACTGGAACGAGACTTTGCTGGGTTTCGAATTTCCTGTTCGAGAACTGCGAGGGCTAGACAAGGCCTTGCGAACCGTTCGTGGAGAACTCGTGAACAACATGGGGTAACTGAACGAAATCGATGAGCACATTGCTCGCAAGAAAATAAAACTCAGTCAGGTCCAAGACGATGAGTCTCTGAAAACCATCATTGAAAAACGGTTGTGGACTTACAAGACGAGAGACAGACTCGATTGCCGTCGCAAGGGAAACCATCGATTGAGTCCTCCACTACGCGCTGTTTTACGATCGAGGTGTTCTTTATTTTCAGACACCTTTCGTGGTGGAAGAGGCTGTGGGGTTGCTGGTCGAACCCTTGGCTCCGGGGATGACGCCACTATACCAGTACAAGAAATTAACCCGAGGCACCATCTCGGAATTAAAAGTATCTGTTTTAGGTATAAAACATAATCCTGTGAATATAGGATACCTCAGCGTGACGCTGCACATACGATAATGACTAGCACCCAAGGTCCCGGAATGCGTTTGAAAAAATGCGTTAATATAGCGGTCTCCGACCTCGGGGACACGCGCGGATTCGATGAACCAGGAATAGACGGTAAACTGTATGCCTTGCAACTGAAAAACAATATTTACAAACGCGTCGAAGTCCCCACCGTCGGTGGATCTGGCAGTAACTTAGACGATATCGTCGATACATCAAGAGCTGTCAGCAACATTGGTACGACCTAGTCCACAATGACGAGGATGAATGGATGATATACCCAGCGTTCGGCGGCAAGCTGTTCGACTTAAACGACGTCGAGACCACGGTCGTCGTTCGAAACAAGCAGTATGCCCTCGTCTTTACCGACGACAACAAATGGATTTTAACACAATCTTGAGTCGACTGGTTTCTCAACATCACGCTCGGCTCTCCCTACGTGTTTACGGAAAACAAAGACCACTACCTAAACAAAGTCGTGAACAACGGAACCCTGCTCGTGGCTTACGTCCCGACGCATAGGCGCAGTGTAATCATCAGTGCAGTCTCAAGTATGGCAGCCCACATGCTATCGAGTAAACCCGGGGAGCAAAACGTGGAGTTGCAATTAGTGTCTGAATTCGACGGCGTTGTCAACATCCTGGAAAATCTACCGGATAATTCCATGCTGGTCATCCAAGTCTACCTCGGTGAACCATCATCACCAGTCGAAATCGTGAAAGGAATCAAACTCCGGTGGACCAAACAACATCAATATCACGTTTGTTCTGTTTACGTGCTGGTGAACGTCGATTCCCACACCAGTCTGCAGGGAGTCAACGTTACCGTGGAAGACACGATATCACTCACCAAAATCTTCCTACCCGACAACATACATCTCATGGGGTTGAAGCGCAGACCTGAGAAATTATCGGAAAAACAATTGGAAACTAATTTAAAACATTTTATAGAGAGGATGAATCATCATCCCAACGTCACACTCGGTGATTTAGGAGACACGGAGGGGTTCGATCTGCCTGGTGAGGAAAACACATTGTACGTCCTACATTTGAAAGACAACGTGTACGAGCGGGTGCCGCTGGCAGACTTTAAAGAGCCCGAATGGTTGATCAACATTACCCTCACCGCACCTCATATCTCGTTTAAACAAAATGTTTACGTCTCCGAGATTAAGAGCAACGATATCATTCTCCGGTCTTTCATTCCGGATAATAATATACAAGTTATACGAATACCAGGTCACTCAGGCAACATGTTAGCTCCAGGCGATGAGACTGTATATTTAAGATCCTATTCACCCGATTACCAGCAGAAGTTTTTGACTACGGGGCCAGACAACGCACTCATCATAGAAGTCTATCTCGGGAACACTAGTAACGATACAAGCCCTTTAAACGGGTTGGTAATAATCTGGGAAGACAGGCACAATTACCAACGTTGTCGTATCATCGTACAACCAGGATCGGCACCCTTAGTAAGCCTCGACGGGGTCCGTATTTTGGACCAAAATGTGCCTATGGATGTCTTAGGGATTTTCGTGGATAAACATCTAAGCCTTATAAGTCTCAAATACTTTAATAAGAAATTAACGAAAAACCAATTAAATTTTATCTGATAATATATAGTAAACAAACACAGGATGGGGCTGTACCCAGTCGTAGAAGAAGTAGGGAAGACACTGGAAACCGTAGATGGGTTTCGGTTGAGGCAGTTATGTGACGTAAAACGCCAACTATGTACGGGCGTCATTAAGTAAGAAATACCACAAAGCTTTCAATATCGTGGATGGGGCTGATACCACCCTTATGGCAACCAGCATGGGATTAGGAGCAGTAGGTTTCGGTTTGTTGACCACCATCGTAGCCGCACCCATAGTTCTGGGTATTGAAATAACAGCTGGGGTGTCAGGGTTGGTGGGGTTGGTGTTTAAGCTTGCATCCCGCAGATTTCATCGTAAAGCATTGAAACACAACGAAATCAGAATTCTGGCCGAAGCAAAGTTAAACACAATAGACGACCATATTTCCACCACACTCACTGACAATAAAATCTCAGAGGAAGATTCGTTAGGTCCTCTCTGAACTCGCAAAATATCACAGAATGAAACAAGAGATTCGGTGCAAGTCTCGTAAAAGCACTGCCATCAGTGAAGACGGAAAAAAAGTACATAGAACAAGGGATACAACAAGCCCAACAAGCTTTCATTACGAAAACCAAAGAAATCATAGGAGATTCACATTAAATTGTTTCGCTGAGATCAACATTGTATAGTTTATTGATGTGCAAATTTATTGCCACACCTACCTCCCTGTCGAGTGTTCACAATAGTGCAGGAAGTGTTGGCTTGAGTCATAGGCCGAGTTGACCAGGAAAGTGCCGGTTCGCGGTCATAGTGACCAGGAAGTTGGCTGGGGATTCAAAAGTGGTATGCACACTAGCGGAAAGAGATAAGGGCCTGACAAAAGCTTTATTTATGAAATTTTGTTGGAAGTGATCTCCTACCCCTGTTGTATATACTGCTGATGATCCAGGTTTAGAAATAGCTGATGATCCAGGTTTAAGTATAACTGATGATTCAGGTTTAGATATAGCTGATGCTCCAGGTTTAGATATAACTGATGATCCAGGTTTAGATATAACTGATGATCCAGGTTTAGATATAACTGATGATCCAGGTTTAGATATAACTGATGATCCAGGTTTAGATATAACTGATGATCCAGGTTTAGATATAACTGATGGTCCAGGTTTAGATATAACTGATTGTCCAGGTTTATGGTCCAGGTTCAGATATAACTGATGGTCCAGGTTTAGATATAACTGATGGTCCACGTTAGGATATAACTGATGATCCAGGTTTAGATATAACTGATGATCCACGTTTAGATATAACTGATGGTCCAGGTTTAGATATAACTGATGGTCCAGGTTTAGATATAACTGATGGTCCAGGTTTAGATATAACTGATGATCCAGGTTTAGATATAACTGATGGTCCAGGTTTAGATATAACTGATGATCCAGGTTTAGATATAACTGATGGTCCTGGTTTAGATATAACTGATGATCCACGTTAGGATATAACTGATGGTCCAGGTTTAGATATAACTGATGGTCCAAGTTTAGATATAACTGATGGTCCAGGTTTAGATATAACTGATTGTCCACGTTAGGACCAAATCGTGAATGAATGTGGCAAAGATTAACACAAATATCAGATGTATATACACATTATTCAGTCAGTTATAGGTAAGTCAGGTCAGTCTCCTGCTTTAACTGATTCATGACATTCTTGATTTCGTTTCAGAAAATCGCACATTTTGTTTCCTTGTCACCAGGTTCATATTCTCTGACACTGGGCACACGCATCTCCCCTCCTTTTGTTGAACCTCGGCGGCCGGCCTTGCAAGAGAGTAATAAAGTGTACGTAACAGCGCTCATTAAACCTCTGGTTGGGGTCAACCACGTAGTTGTAGCTAAGCCTCCAGGCAGCGGTACGACGAATATGTCTGTCGATGGCTTGTTGGTCCTCTTCTAGGCGTCTGTAGCAGTGTGACCTCAGACGTTGATTTAGGTTGCCGGACCTCCCCACGTAGATGACCAATCCACCCTGTTTGATAGCGTAGATTCCTCGTAGTGTCTCTTTAGGCCATTGTCCCCATGGAATGCCTTGGCTATCGATCAGGGTTCGGCTGTTTCGCCTAGTTGTCGCCTGTAATATATCATCTTTAACATGGAGTGAATCCTGACTGAAATGCTCTTAATAAACAGACAAAATATATATCAGACCTAACACCCCAATCTGACTTGACAGGATCCGCTGGTCGTGGGTTTCAATCCAAGACTGGTCCTTTTTCTGCCAGCAACCTACGACTGGACTTCACCCTACTGCTCCATCAGTCTAACCTTTGACCTCCCTCACACATTATCTGCCACGCCCTGATACGACTGGGGTACTGCTCAAAACGGAGATGACCTTACAAGCTCAATCAGACCTGATTCTAGGACACATTTCACACATTTCACATCTATTACTGAATATTTTAAGAAATGTTCGACGTTCTGGAACCAACGGTAGGGGCAGGTAATGTTACAGACGAAATGGGTTTAACAAACTCGCCCAGACGTGTTCTAACAAAAAACACAAAAGATCTTTTGAATATGTCCACATGAAGGTGACACATTTATAACAAAATCCTGTAAAATACATATCCACGGTCCTCGTACCGTGCAATAGCGCACCCGAGTCTCTGAAAACTGAGACAGTTTGGGGTTCTATCAGGATATTACCAGTTTGAATGTAAGGTGATACTATAGACGTATATAATGCTGACGTGTCTCTTAATGTACAGTGAGTGAGTGAGTTAGTTAGTTTTACACCACTTTTATCAATATTCCTGCAATATCACGCCGGGAGACACCAGAAATTGGCTTCACACATTGTACCCATGTAGGGAATTGAACCCGACTCTTTGTCGTGATAAGCGAACACTTTAACCACTGGACTTTGTAAAGACGCCTATATTTGTTGTAATATCGTGGAAGAATACAGAGAGGGTATTTGGTTTGACGCGTTAACCAATAGGCTACCCCACCGCCCACCGACCTTTGGCAAAAGTACCACCCAAAACACACCATCGCAGAGCTGATTCTTAGGCAAAAGTCAAATTAACTATTGAATACTTACAGGACAGTTCGCCATTCCCGAAACGTTAATGTAAATAAGGTATCTGTGAACGGAGCTCGTACAGTAATGGCGTACAGTCAACATCCCAGAAGTAATATAAGTAATGTACGTAGCGCCGTGAGCAGGCAATGCGCCTGGATATGAGCGCCTTATAAGCGGACTGTTGCTATTACTATTACAATTCCGGGTATTATCGGGCTATATGACCTGTCACTTACACAATGACACGTAAACCAAAATAACAATGTTGTGCCATTAAAACCTAGGTGAAGGTCCGGGTGAGGTGAGGTGAGGTGATTGTCGGGCTTTATTCAGTTTGATGCATCAGAACTACGGAGACTGCATGTTTTAAAATGTCGACCCATAAATCGTTAGCTGTCGATTACGTATGAGATCTGTGAACTGAAGTTTCTGCCACCATTTTGACATCCTGCTCCCTGATTGGTTGGATGACGATATGGTAACGCTTAACGAAGTTATACCTGTCATCACATCTGAATAGTACTACGTTTGTACAATCTGTTAGTCAATCTAGTTGGTCAGAGATGGCGTACAAACAAAATCATAATGTGCTGAATGCACGTTGGAATTATCACTGGAAGATATGAATATTGCAATTTCTAAAGAAATATCGATTCAATAAATCAGTGAGTTAGCTTCAACGTGGATTTGAAAAGAGCTCCAGTTACATAACGATTTGTAATCCCGAGAGTGTGAGAGACAGTCAGTCAGTTTCCTAGAAGTGATATAATTCCAAGTATTGACGGGCTATGTGAAGTGTGACGTGCACAATGACACCATAAATCAATAAACGATAACGTGCCATTAAACCTACAATGGTCTCAAGTGTAGAAAATTGACGGAGCCTGTTTTGTTTCCACTATGCAGACAGCATGGGTGTGTACTTGTAGAAAATATGAGAGAGAGTGGTGGAGGGTTGTCTCCGGGTTTAAATATAACTGATGATCCAGGTTTAGATATAACTGAGGGTCCAGCTTTAGATATAACTGATGATCCAGTTTTAGATATAACTGATTGTCCAGTTTTAGATATAACTGATGGTCCAGTTTTAGATATAACTGATGGTCCAGGTTTAGATATAACTGATGGTCCACGTTAGGATATAGCTGATGATCCAGGTTTAGATATAACTGATGGTCCACGTTAGGATATAACTGATGGTCTAGGTTTAGATATAACTGATGGTCCACATTAGGATAAAACTGATGATCCAGGTTTAGATATAGCTGATAATCCAGGTTTAGATATAACTGACGGTCCACGTTAGGATATAACTGATGGTCCAGGTTTAGATGTAACTGATGATTCAGGTATAGATATAACTGATGGTCCAGGTTTAGATATAACTGATGATCCAGGTTTAGATATAGATGATGATCCAGGTTTAGCTATAGCTGATGATTCAGGTTTAAGTGTAACTGATGGTCCAGGTTTAGATATAACTGATGATCCAGGTTTAGATATAACTGATGATTCAGGTTTAGATATAACAGATGATTCAGGTTTAAGTATAACTGATTGTCCAGGTTTAGATATAGTTGATGGTCCAGGTTTAGATATAACTGATGTTCCAGGTTTAGATATAACGGATGATCCAGGTTTAGATATAGCTGATGGTCCAGGTTTAGATATAGCTGATGGTCCAGGTTTAAGTATAACTGATTGTCCAGGTTTAGATATAGCTGATGGTCCAGGTTTAGATAAAACTGATGTTCCAGGTTTAGATATAACGGATGATCCAGGTTTAGATATAGCTAATGGTCTAGGTTTAGATATAACTGGTGATTCAGGTTTAAATATAACTGATGGTCCACGTTAGAATATAACTGATGGTCCAGGTTTAGATGTAACTGATGGTCCAGGTTAAGATATAACTGAGGGTCCAGGTTAAGGTATAACGGAGGGTCCAGGTTAAGGTATAACTGATGATCCAGGTTTAGATATAACTGATGATCCAGGTTTAGATATAACTGATGGTCCAGGTTTAAGATATAACTGATGGTCCAGGTTTAGATATAACTGATGGTCCAGGTTTAGATATAACTGATGGTCCAGGTTTAGATATAACTGATGATCCAGGTTTAGATATAACTGATGGTCCACGTTGAGATATAACTGATGGTCCAGGTTTAGATATAACTGATGGTCCAGGTTTAAGTATAACTGATGATCCAGGTTTAGATATAACTGATGGTCCAGGTTTAGATATAACTGATGGTCCAGGTTTAGATATACTGAGTCCAGGTTTAGATATAACTGATGGTCCAGGTTTAGATATAACTGATGGTCCAGGTTTAGATATAACTGATGGTCCAGGTTTAGATATAACTGATGGTCCAGGTTTAGATATAACTGATGGTCCAGGTTTAGATATAACTGATGGTCCAGGTTTAGATATAACTGATGGTCCAGGTTTAGATATAACTGATGGTCCAGGTTTAGATATAACTGATGATCCAGGTTTAGATATAACTGATGATCCAGGGATATAACTAACTGATGGTCCAGGTGTAGATATATCTGATGGTCCAGGTTTAGATATAACTGATGGTACATGTTAAGATATAACTGATGGTCCAGGTTTAGATTATAACTGGTGATTCAGGTTTAAATATAACTGATTGTTCACGTTAGAATATAACTGATGGTCCAGGTTTAGATATAACTGATGATCCAGGTTTAGATATAACTGATGGTCCAGGTTAAGGTAGAAGTGATGGTCCAGGTTTAGATATAACTGATGGTCCAAGTTGAGATATAACTGATGGTCCCGGTTAAGGCATAACTGAGGGTCCAGGTTTAGATATAACTGATGGTCCAGGTTTAGATATAACTGATGGTCCAGGTTTAAGTATAACTGATGATCCAGTTTTAGATATAACTGATGATCCAGGTTTAGATATAACTGATGGTCCAGGTTTAGATATAACTGATGGTCCAGGTTTAGATATAGCTGATGGTCCAGGTTTAGATATAACTGATGGTCCAGGTTTAGATATAACTGATGGTCCAGGTTTAAGTATAACTGATTGTCCAGCTTTAGATATAGCTGATGGTCCAGGTTTAGGTATAACTGATGTTCCTGGTTTAGATATAACAGATGATCCAGGTTTAGATATAGCTGATGGTCCAGGTTTAGATATAACTGGTTATTCAGGTTTAAATATAACTGATGATCCAGGTTTAGATATAACTGATGATCCAGGTTTAAATATAACTGATGGTCCACGTTAGGATATAACTGATGGTCGAGGTTTAGATATGACTGATGGTCCAGGGTGCCGTTCCACTAACCGATCTTACCTAAGATCAATCTTAGCAAGTAACGCCAATTTTACAATCGTCTTAGCTAAAAGTTACACCCGTTCCACTACCCGATCTTAGGCCGATCGTAGCCGGTCCCGATCTTACGATCCGATTCAAGCTTATATCGAGACTCTTTCGTGCGAGAGATAGAGGAATGCGGGGGGCACGAGTTATCTCCCTTTGCATAGTCTAGCAAATGATGGAAGAAGTTTACGAACCAACTGAGTGAGTGAGTTTAGATTTACGCCGCACTCAGCAATAGTCCAGCTACATGGCGGCGGTCTGTAAATAATCTAGCTAAGATGCATAGCGTTCACTAACATGAACGTTCATGTATCTTAGCTATAAATAATCGAGTCTGGACCAGACAATCCAGTGATCAACAGCATGAGCATCAATCTGCGCAGTTGGGAACCGATGACATGTGTCAACCAGGTCAGCGAGCCTGACCACCCGATCCCGTTAGTGGCCTCTTACGACAAGCATGGGTTATTAAAGTTCAATATTCTAACCCGGGCCTTCATGGGTATTTTTCCAACCAAGTGTAAACGTGAAGAAAAAAAACTAGAGCAAAATATTAGGGTAGTGAGCTCCTTGGTTTCAGGTGCATGTGCGTGTGAACGCTGGATATCAGGCATAATATAATGATAATAATTCCATATTTATAGTGCGCCTATTCCACATCCTGGGGCATGCTCAAAGCGCTATGTACAGATAATTTACACGAGAGTATTTACAGCCGAGATTATAAGTAATATACTGAGAACAGGTTTTAAGCCTGGACTTTGAAAATGTCAATTGTGTCAGAGCTTTTAATATGTGCCTGAACCTTGTCAATCAGAATAAACAAGGCGTGAGGAGGCATCCTCTATAACGTATGTAGAATTTGTCAGTGGTCTTGAATAACACGCGGCCTGCCTTTAGAATCCCCCACCAAATAAGCGCACGTGAAATCAAACATATTTGTATCTTTTTGTTTCAGAACATTGTTCACTTCACGGCTGTCCCTATTCTTAACCATGACGTTGCAATATTGTTGTACAAATGTGTTCCACCGACTCGCTCGGCTGTGTTCCCATGACGACAGTGGTCAGACTGGCCTGACATTTGTAAGGTTTCAGTGCAGTGTTTGTTTACATTACAGAAATATACAAATTCATTTCATGGGGGATTTTAGGGGACGCTCACGGTGAAATGCTCGCTCTTATTTTTCACACAGAATAGGAAAGCCACCATTTTGGTTTCTCTACGCTTGATTTTAGCTATCCTAAGTTGGTCATGAGCAACTTAGACTTTGAATCTTAACTTTACAATTGACTTAGGTAAGATTGGTTAGTGGAACGGTATGCCGATCATATCGTCACGCTAAGATTGGGATTTTAGGGGTTTACGATTGGCGTAGGGCTAAGATCGGTTAGTGGAACGCAATCCAGTGATCAACAGAATGCGCATCGATCTGCGCAGTTGGGAACCGATGACGTGTCAACCAAGTCAGCGAGCCTGACCGCCCGAACCCGTTAGTGGCCTCTTACGACAGGCATGGGTTATTGAAGATAAATATTCTAACCCGGGCCTTCATGGGTATTTTTCCAACCAAGTGTAAACGTGGAGAAAAAACCTAGAGCAAAATATTAGGGTAGTGCGCACCAAAGTTTCAGGTGCAAGTGCGTGAGTATCAAGCATACTATAATAATAATAAATGCATATTTATAGTGCGCCTATTCCACATCCTTGGGAATGCTCAAAGCGCTGTGTACAGATAATTTACACAAGAATATTTACAGCCGAGATTATAAGTAATATACTGAGAACAGGTTTTAAGTCTGGACTTTAAAAATGTCAATTGTGTCAGAGCTTTTAAGATGTGCCTGTACCTTGTCAATGAGAATAAACAAGGCGTGACGAGGCTATAACGTATGTAGAATCTGTCAGTGGGTAGAAGGTAATGTTGAGTAACTCTCTCCATTCCTTAAAATAATGGCGCCGAGGCCCCGGAAGGGCCGAGGCACATTGTTTTAAGGAATGGAGAGTTACAAGAATATTACCCCACTTAAATTACATTCAAAGTATTGGGAATATTTCTGTTATCAAAGTTATATGTCAAAATGACAAAATGAAGTCTTTAATTTGAAGTTGGTACACATCGCTCCATTCCTGAAAAGTAATGGAGCGAGCAGACAATGGAATGCCGTCACAAATGTAATTTAATCTTGAATCACACGCGGCTTCCCTTTAGAATGCCCCATCAAATATGCGCAGTGAAATCAAACATATTTGTATCTTTTGCTTCAGAACATTGTTCACTTCACGGCTGTCGTTATTCATAACCATGACGTTGCAATATTGTTGTATACAAATGTGTCACACCGACTCGCTCGGCTGTGTTCCCATTACGACAGTGGTCAGACTGGCCTGACATTTGTAAGGCTTCAGTGCAGTGTTTGTTTACATCACAGAAATATACAAATTCATTTCATGGGGATTTTAGGGGACGCTCACGGTGAAATGCTCGCTCTTATTTTGCACATAGAATAGGAAACCCACCATTTTGGTTTCTCTACGATTGATTTTAGCTATCCGAAGTTGGTCATGAGCAACTTAGACTTTGAATCTTAACTTTACGATTGACTTGGGTAAGATTGGTTAGTGGAACGGTCTGCCGATCGTAACGTCACGCTAAGATTGGAATTTTAGGGGTTTACGATTGGCATAGGGCTAAGATCGGTTAGTGGAACGGCACCCAGAACACTAATTGTTTTGACCGTAGACTAAAGAACAACTGAGATGCCGACTTTTAAAGAGGGAACTATTTCTTCTTAAGAACTTCTTAAAAGGAACATGACCCCGCGACCCCGGCTGCATTTCAACGATTCGCTCCAGTGTCAAAACGTGTTCTGGCTGCGTTTGGGGCGATTTTAGCCCTCAAATACAATTCAAACACCCGTTACTCTGAAACCAACCGTCCGATTTCGACCAAAATGTACCTGTACATGTGAGCTTTTAGTGTGGATTATAACTAACGATTGCAGTTATGTATCTCCAAAGACAACAGAGGGACAAGTGAAATTATATTTTCCACATTTTAGTTGCTATCTTCATCGGTTCTCTAGAAAACACAATGAAAGTTAGCCGTATGTATCTCAAACGTTAGCTGATCAGTTTCTGTTGTTCGGTGCATGTGAAAAGTATCACCGTTTGGTACATATCTTCTTCATGATTTTTGTTAGAGTTAATTAAGATAGATGTTTGAACAAAGGGTTCTTCTGTTTTGGGATTCATGACACC